ATCATTACAGGATTGCTGGAGCACAACATGTACACATCTGTTGTAGTGTCTACCCGAGCAACCAACATGACAAGTAGGTCTCTGTCTGTACCAACAAGAACAACCGGTTGCTGCTCAGACTCTGCTAGATCTAACGCTGTTGAGACAATCAGTGTGTCGGCATCTGCCTCTACTTGCTTTACACGTATTCCAGCCATCAACATTTTATCGCGTAGAGCTTTAATGAACTGCAGCCTGGGTTGTAGTAGTAGGCATGTCATCACCGGGTATGATGTCTCTGGAAGTGTTTTTGCTGGCCCGTCGCCTTTGTTCCGCTTCTTTTGTGGATGCCTTACCCCCATATCCGTCAAACACCACGGTTGTTTGAGCTCCGTAATGCCTCAGGATGTACGAAATGTACGACTGATGCACATCAGCATAGGTAGACGGTTTAGGCCAGACAACAGATTGGAGAAAGTGACCGCCATCTAGAACATAGATGCAATTTTTAGGTAGGCTGGTTGGTTGCGTGAATTCATTCAACAGAAGTCCCAAAGAACTATTTGTTGGTTTTCGCATCACACCATCTTGGAAGAGCGAAGGTGGCTGGGGAGCAAGTTCATACGCCAAGAAGAATTTCATCTCTGAGCTGTTGTTCGGGACACATTGATTCACTTGAAGAGTAGAGATGGATTCACCTCTACTTGCTGTCCTCTGACTCGCGCCATCTTCTCTTTGGTACCGATCGTCTTCACTTTGTCATTACAGCGTAGAGTGATGTCGGTGAACCTTTTCCCTGAAATTTCTGATGCTGCCTTTTCACCAATTTCTATAGTATTGTCACAGTTGACAGATGTATCCGCAACGACTCCGGTAGACAATGACACCAGTTGATCAGGTTTATAGCCCGCAAATGGTGGATGTGCTTCCAGCCATACAAGAAACACATCGATGCTTGTTATCTCTCGACTGGGTACTTTGCAACATGTCTTTATGTTGCTCTAATGTACAGGTGTGTACTCCTATGAACTTCTCAAGTGCATCACAGAACGGAACACAGCGAGGTAGTGTATGGACCCATTTAGTCAATGTACTATCGGGGATGCCCCTACCACGTGTCATACCTCCAGAGGCTTTCAGCGACCGCATCAGTAACTGTTCAATGGTCTGATCTGAGAAGTTACCACTCCAGAATGAGTCCCTGCGACAAATGGCGAAGTACCCCTTCTCTGTGAATAGACTGTACTCATCAGTCGGCATGGTTTTCTCCAAATCATCCATCTGTTGTAAATACAACCTGGCAGATTTGGCATAGGGTAGATGTCCTGCAGCATGAAAATGTGGAATCATTTTTCCTCACACAGTAGAGATGGAGCTTCCAGTCCCCTGTCCTTTCAGCTCGAATGAAATGTTGTAGAAGAGCCACTTGTTGGATGTACTGTACCCTTAATCCAAGATGGCCGCCATATTTAAATACTTTGAAAGGGTCGAAATCTACAGACAGGAATGATGCAAGAATGACAAAGAATTCAAAACAAAACTTTAAACCACCGACTTGGCGAAAACATGTTAACAACACGGGACTTGATCCCGATCACGATAACGATAGTCTCGATAATGATAGTGATAGGCGATCCCTTACACTCTACCCCCGCTAAACATCCCATGGATTTTTCCACAACTTAAACAATATACAATCACTAACAAGTGCTTCCAAACGTACATCATGAACATCGTTGTATATTTAGCCATATACCTAGAAAAGCTACATTCAACTGTTAAAATATCTATCAAAAGATTTAAATATAATCAACCCTTCAAATACTGAAAGCAGCATATGACACGTACACATAATATGGTTACCTGTTTCAAAAATTCAGTGCTCAACAAAATACCCCACTAGCTACAAGTAGTACACAAATGGTATATCAAGCAAAAACAGCACTATATAGACCTAGTGCGCTACAAACATACCTGGTTCTCTCTAAAGTATGCTACCTTCAGAACGACAACTTTCAAACTAAACTTTCGCATACATTTTATACAAAACATCAAGAAATTATGCATATCCCAAACAAAATATTAATGTATTATAATAGCTAGGAGACTTATCCTATTCTCGCTATGAAACCACAAGACATTTGATGGGGTAACCGAAGTGTCTATGAACAGGACCTGACAGTACCATTTGACATCAGTCTTCTGCGTCATCAGTCAGAGCTGTTTCATCATCTATGGGTGCTTCTAGCGCCGGTGCTGTATTGTTGCAGGACTGGCCGATGCATTTGCTGCACATTGACGAGCAGAATAAGGCAAGCTTCTTGCAGCTGCATGTCATGTTGCTGCATCCATCCTGTCTGCATCCACAAGACACCATGTTGAGAAGAACGTCCGGTGCAACAAGGATGTCCATTCCAACAGGTGCTAGACTGCCATCTTGAGATCGCCATCCCCATTCAGTAGGAGGCAGGCTGTTGCCCATCCATTCATGAACAGTTAGATATGTCCGGTACAAATGCTGCTTTGCTGCCGCACTTGTTGGTGGTAAGCTTGCGAGTTGAAATGAAGAACTCAATCAGCTGCGGCCTATTGCACGCTTGTATGCAATGTTGCGATATTCATCCAACGTTTCAACTTTGTCTGCTCCATACAGCGCAAGGATGAATGCTTCTCCGGCTTGTTTCACCTCTTTCCAGGATGGTCCGTGGCGCTGCCGTGCTGGTCCGGCCCGATCCGGCCCGATGATGCTTTTTTTCGACCCGGATCGCCACGGATTATAAATTTTACGGTCCGGGGAGATCCTGCCCCATCCGCGGTAATCCGTGGACAGTCCGGCCCCAGTGTGACTTTAGCTTAACACCCCTGACTACGTGATGAGATGGTAAATGAATGGTCGTGATTTTAGGCATTGTCCATAAATATGTTAGGCATACTTTGCATACATTACAATTATTTTAGAGATCTTTTACTAGCCGCTTATGATGACCAACCCTATTGTATCATTGAAGGGACTGGAAGGGGATGAGGAGGATCAGGCTATCAGTATGTTGTCGGACACGACTGCAAAGTTGACATCAGCTGTTCACTCTCTGCCAGAACTCCTGGAACAGAAACGTGTTATTGACATGCACACCACCATTGCAACGGCCATACTAGACCACATTAAGGTCGGTGCTGCCACCTGTCACCCAGGTCGACTTACATGACTTAGGCTAGCAAATTGAAAACCATTCGTACTGACTGTACACGTCAAGTTAATCCAATTTTTTTGTCACAGTCCAAATCCAGGCTTGATCCAATTGATGCAATGTCCTGTTCTGCAACCTGTTTGTAGCTAACTAACAGTTAACCACGTACCTATTACAAATTGTTTGCGTGTATCGCGTAGGAGCGGAAACTTGATGTATACTTTGAAATGGAAGAGAAACTGATGAGTCGATCTCAGCTGGACAAATCTCTGATGGACATCATCACAAATCCAGAAGGTATATTACTGACACATGCAGCACACAAGGTGCATACTGTTCAGGGGCAGGGCGAGAGAGAGAGAGAAATAGAGGGTGGCAGGGAGGGAGAAAGAGAGGGTGGCAGGGAGAGACAGAGAGATAGATAGAGTGGGGGCGGGGAGAGTGTCAGTTCATGGCTTATCTGTCTGACTAGAGTAACTAAACCAGGGCTAGCGTAATAGGTTGTAGAACTTGCAGATTAAGAATCAGAAGCTAAATGTGCAATGGGGCTGAGGTGAACCCTTATAGTTGGATGACCTTCAGATCTTAATAATATTTTTAAATGTAGCCTTGAAAGGGTAGCACATGATCCTAAAGTATTAAGAATAAACTTTTGGCATATCATCTGGAGAAGTCATCTTAAAGCAATGACGTTTGTCACTGAATTATCACAGCTATGAAGCAGTAACTAACATGCAAAATTGGTGCCTTGTAGCAGGCTCAGCTGAGGACAAGATGAGGCTGTTCCTTATTGCACTTCTATGTGGACAGCCAATGACAGAGGCCGAGATAGACCAGTATGCAATGACACTACAGGAAACTGACTGCGACATCGCGCCTCTAAATTATATTCGCAAGTGGAGGTATTACTTTCTCTTCTTACCTTCAGAAATAATGAGGAGTGCTGCCTAGAGTTTGGGAAAGTTGTCTGCACCTATGTCACATATGGGAGTGGAAACGTTTACCTATGCTTACACGGCTACTAGTATATTGTACATCGCAGTCATTCAGAATTAATAGTTTTTGCTTGTTTTCTTGCAGGGCTTACGCAAAGATATCTGCGGCTCCAAGCACATACACCGGTGGTGGTACAAAGACTGTTAGGTATGTAGATAGTATGTTAGGTATAGCTTATGAAACACATTGTTATCAGGTTGATTTCATTGTTGATTTTTAGCTCATCTGACGTAGTCAGGTGCAGCTTGTAGAATCGCATGATTGTCCGTCCGGCCGTCCGTCAACAGTTAGGCACAAATCTTAACCGCTCGACGTACGGTCACGATATTCGGGACGTGGGGTGGTAATCCGAAAACGAGTTGGGATGTCGAGGCTGGGGGTCAAAGGTCAAAGGTCAAGAGGTGTAAAAGAAGGGGGAACATTCCCTCCTTAACTTAAAGGTATAGGGAGGAAATGCAGAATTGCGGCACAAATCTAAACGGCTCGACCTAGGCTATGGTAGTCGGTGTATAGCATCATGGTAGGAAAAGCCATCACTGTGCCGAAATTGGAGGTGACAGGTCAAAGGTCAATGGGGCACAGGGCAGATTTTAGACATTTTCTGAGGACATGGTCTGACGGAGCGATTGGAAAACTTTTTTGTTTCAGCGGTGACCTAGCATTTTTTATGGCTTTGTTGAAAGGACACCGATGTAATGTACATTTATTTTTTTTTCCGCTGAACATGGCGAAGAGTAAGTGACGGATAACCTTTTTGACCCTCAAGAGGAGTTAAACATGGATTTGTTTACTGTTAGAAGAATTTGACTGCCGTGTTTGCTAGTAGAATCTCTACATGCATGGATGTATGAGGCTACAATGTCATAGGTGAAATTTCAAAAGCTAAATTTGTTGAAGAAGGTTCATGCTCCTTAAATCGTATAATTTCTATGGCATTCTGTACTGTCAGTGTGTTACATGTAACTTATGCCACTGCCAGTGGCCACTGCCGTGCATGTGGTGGTGATAGTTACTGTGTAGTTTTTGCCTGCATTAATTAGTTACAGGTGGCAGCTCTCTATTTCAGCCTAAGGCTTGCGTAGGTAAATGGATGAGTGCTTACCTATTCTGTCTTGCAAATAGTTTGTTGGCTACTATGTACGATCGGAGCTTCCATCTTAATCTGAAGACAACTTAAAACGTACGCGCCCGTCTCGTGGCAACTTTCATAACGATCCAACAAACATTCCTTCGGAAGGTTCCTGATACCATCCCTGTGCTTTTAACTGTTTTTGGCATGTATGTGAACACATTTGGAAACAGGGTTTACTAGAATCCCACACCCGTCCACCACAGAGTCACCGGCAGTAAGACGTGAGATGAGCGCTGTCGCTCGCCGAGCACTTGTTTATAAACTTTGAATGGTAAATTGTCATGACATTTTCAGTGGTATCTGTAGAGGGTCGTCTGCAGTATGTATTGTGAAATTGAACTCTGTTTCAGCATGTTTTCCAAACTCATGGCTGACAGCTCGAAGTTTGTCATGGAAGGAGTAAAGAACCTGGTTGTTAAAAAGGCATGTAAGTTAAAGAGTTAAAGAGCATATTGCAAAGTACGACAGGTACACATACCACAGCATACATTTGGTTATAAGTGAGGATTATATCATGTTTTCCTTTACTGACATAGATGTGATCAAACTGACAGTTTTGTTTAGCAAGCAAAAATTGCAAATCTTGACAATTCTTAATATACAATAGTGTGGTACCTAAGTCGGATAGCTCGTTCTGGTACCGGGTGTTCTACCAAGGTAACATAGCCCTATATCTGGCGTCAACACCAGATATTTAATCTATTTGTAGGGTAACATATCAGTTCCTGTTGATGTGCACACACAAAATTCCTATGATTGCTCAAAGCAAATGCCAGCTTGTA